CCCCAAATTAATTTATCATCACTTCATAAATATGAACACAGTGTGTCACAATCTGATATTTGTATAGTGTTTTATTCCTACCATATTCAATGAAATTAACACGCCAACACAACCTTTTTTTTATGGAAAAAGTATGAATTACCCCCTAAACTATAGCAGACGATTGAATTACACCCTTAAACTCGAATACTTGACATTTTACAACTCAACTATTACACGCTTGTCAGGTACTCCATTCGTCTCTAAATATAAGGGATTTTAGTTGAATGTGACGTATCCTATTACTACGAATCTAGATGTGGAACATGTCTAGGGACGGAGGGAGTAATATTTAGAGACGGAGGGAGTAATATTTGGTATTCAAGCTTAGGGGGTAATTCGTTTCAGGACGATAATTCATACATTTTTCTTTTTTTATTACCTTTGATAATTGTTTATAACCGGGACTAATCAACACATGATTTTACTTTTGGCTTTACACATTTTAATCGTGTGTTAAATGAGAAACGTCCAGAGGTCTTCCGGCTAACTCCATAAGATGGTGGGCTAGATGACCTAAATTCGAAGCCTCACTCTTTCTAATTATTTAATACTAGATTATTCTCTAATATTCGCGTCTTTTTAATCGTGTGTTAAATGGTACACTCGTATTCGTGTGTGTAGTGTAACGCTTGAAAGGTACGCGCGAAGTCTTGTTTTAATCGGAAAAGTGATTATTGTGCACTAGTTGGACCAATAAGGGAAGAAACCAGTTCTCTGCAAAGCTGGCAAATCTCTAGTAAAGGCCGGTGTTGCCCGGTCCGGGGCTCCCCGGCTCCCGAGGATTTCGTCGTTAGGCTCGCGGGTCGCCTGTTCCGCCGCGCGATGCGTCGTCAGATGGGCCGTAGCCTGCTTGGGCATGGGGCAATCGAGTCGATGCCACGCCGGGCGCGGGTTGGGCCTCGTCGCGGGGGGGTGCTTGTCAGCTGTCAGCTGTCACTTCCTGGAACGGATTCTCGGGCTGCCGATCTTGCCGGTGGGCGCCCGCGGCATCGGCGCAGTACTAACTGGGAATAAGTTCAATTTGTGATCAATCGAAATCTAATCCGTTATCCTAAACCATAAAACCAAATATCTCTACCCCAAACTTTTAAAACCGGTTCAATTTAACTCTCTTGATGATTTCGCTGACGTGGCGCCTATGTGACTCCCCTCCTATATTCCCTCTTTCTTCGTTGGCAGCGGCGGTCAGCGGTTGCGGCCTCTCTCTCCGATGACCTAGAGCTCGCCACCACCCGCACCCGCCCCCGCACCCTCATCCGATCCATCCCTTCCCTCCTCCATGGCCAAAGATGCCGCGGCGGCCGCCATGGCCACGGCCTCGCTCTCTAGCGATCTGGAGCCCGCCACAACAACGCAAATCGCCACAACAACGGGGAGCGGCGGCGTCAGTATCCAACAGTGGGGACGGGGTTCTCGGCCCATTCCGCCCCAGCGGCGAGGGCCCGACAGCAGGGGAAGAGACACCATGGCCGCCCGCCGCCAACCGAAGAGGAAGAACCGATGAGAAAGGGAGAGAAAGAGAGAGAAAAGGGAGGGAAAGAGGGAGGAGGAAGAAGTGATTTATGTTGGCCCCACATATCATTATATCAGTGGGGCCTACAACTTTTTTTTTGAATGACCAATGGGCCCCGCATATATATTTTTAATTCTAATGCCACTTAAGCGTCATGTTAACGCCAAGTAGTACGAAGACCTGGTCAGCACTGCCACGTAGGCGCCATGTCAGCGAAACCGCTCTTCAAAACTGCCGAGGGAGTCAAATTGAACTGGTTTTAGTTGAGGGTCATGGATTAGATTCGGGTCACTTTTAAGGGAGTCAAAGTGAACTTATTCCTACTAACTGGGAAGGCTTTGTTTCGATGGGCCGCCACCGTCAGCGGCCTGTCCATTTGCCCAAACTCCAAATAAATGGAAGAACACATTTTGTGTCTATTCAAACACGTCAACCACGCTATGGTTCCAAGAGAAAACTCGTGCTTGTGGTGTCCCCCTGCTTTCGTATTGCCAATTGACCTAGCCCCCTCCTGGGTAGAGCTAGAGCGCGATCAGCTGGTGAACACTGCGGCTTGGCGGCTGACTAAGTCACGAGAGCAGGAGCATGCGACAAGCACAGTACCAACCATTGGTGAGTCCACAAAACATATACTGTTCAGATACATAGTCAATATGTACACACATCATCTGATATCAATGGCAGTCAAATTCGCACTCACCTGGTGACCTGTGTATCAACAGGAGGTGGATCGAAGGCGTTTTACCTGCTGTCTTTTGGGTCGTCGGTTGCATTTCCTGCAGGAAAGAACTGCAACTGCAAGCAACAAATTCTCCAGAGATTCTAGATTTCTAGGACAGCAAAAAGAATGACAAAATGGAGACGCGGGGAATCGAACCCCGTGCCTCTCGCATGCGAAGCGAGCGCTCTACCATATGAGCTACGTCCCCATTGATGCAAACGGTATCCCCTGTATTGATTATATTGATCATTTTCAATAAACGACAGTCAGTGTCAGTTTACCCTGAAAACGCATGTTCAGTTCCCTGAAAGCAAAATGCCCAACGATTTCAGTCTGCACAAGATCGACCAATCTGACACCATCCCCAGCCTCACAGCTCGGCAACGGTAGCCAGATAGAGGCTCCAGCTAGCAAGCAAACGAACAAACCTCACGCCATGCATCTCCATCGATCCTAACCACCCTTCACCTTGATCATTGCCTTGCCCCCATCACTGACGACCTCACTATGACAGTTAAGCCTGCTAATGGACTGGGTTTAAGTGGATATAGTGGGTTGGATTTCAGTGTGGGTTAGCTTTGGGCGGGTGGAAATGGGTTGCTGCACCTGATGGACTGGACTGGTTTGGATGGAGATGGGAAATGGTTTGGATTGGTTTAGTTTTGGCTGCAAAAGTTTGGTCCCAGATTGGATTCAACCCATGGGTATCCACTGGATTGGCCCCAATCCCATCGTCTCCCTGAGAAGTCGACAACCACATCGCCGCCATCGCTAGCTCGACTTCGTCGCCGGTGGCTTGCTACCTTCCTCTCCCTCCTCCGGCAAACCTTCTCCCTTCACAAAGTCCCCAAAAAATCAACCATGGCTCCGGATCTTCTGGCTGCCCGCGGCAACAGCGACGGCATCGAAGGCCGTGGCCGCGGCCGCCATCATGGGGGAGAAGGGCGGGGCAACGTGGGGCTTGTGGCGGACAATGGTGGTGCGGTGGTGCGGACTTGGGGGAGAAGTCCTACGGCGGTGCAGCCGCGGTGGTCACGGCTGTAGTGCTCACGAGCCTCGCGACGGTGAGTCGGTGAACGCGCTCGCGGTGGTCGCGGCATCCCAGCGCTGGTGAGGCTCCTTCGCTGCGGCGGCGGCGACGACGTGGCGCACGGGAGCGCCAGATGCTCCCACGACCCTGTACGAGCTCTGCAAGCTGCTCATCCTCCATTGATGCCCTCTGCAAGCTGCTCATCCTCCCGGAGCTGACCAAAGGAGGGAGGAGGAAGAAGATGACGATGCCTGTTGGTGTTCAGAGTAATATTGTGCATTTCCTTTGGGTTGGAAATGGGTTGAGAATGGGTTGAATCCATTTGTCTGCACTTGGTTTGGATTTGTTTGGGCTTGCTCTGTGAGTGGATTGGATTGGTTTGGTTTCTGCAAACTATGAATTGAATTGGATTGGTTTAGAAGTGTACTATAGAGACAAGTGAACTGGGGCGGTTTTGGTCTGGATCTCAGTCCATTAGCAGGCTTAATGACAGTATAGCACTGCCTCCTTTTTCCCTCTGCAAGTCTGAAAATCTGAATGGAACAATCTGCAAGCAACACGCATGCTGTTGTTACTGCAAACATTTCGATTGATCAAGAATTGAAGCGACCTTGGCCTGAAACAAATGATCTGCCGGTAGGTACAGATGACTAGATGAGAGTACGTAGGTCAAGAAACAGGTTCTTGGCGACACGGACAGAGACGGCACGAGAGGCGAGAGGGTGAGACAGGAAGGTACACCAGGTTTGCCTACAGGTATCCGGCACCAACCTTTCCCAGGCAAGAACCTACTACCTCTCACATGGAATGTTCCAAGAGCCAATTTGATGCAGAGAAAACTAGCGCCCACATGGAACTAATCGAGATTCGAGAGTGGATTCAGTACTCTCTGCCTCTCTCGAGCAGATAATACCAAACTAGTTGGAAGATCATGTTTCCAGCTCATCGAGAGGTTCATCAGGTTGCAGCACCAACTTTTGTTCTGTTTTCAATTCCTCAGTGTCTTGCTTTGGTTAAACTCATCCGGTTTGCCATGGATGATTGGATGGAGGGTACCATCACTTCTCGTTTTTTGACCTGGTTGGTCCAGTGGCTAATCTGTTTCCTCTGATCCTACCATGGCTACTTCTCAAGAACGAGTAACATAATAAGCTAGAGCCTTTCAGATCAGATGTCGTCTTCAGTATTTTTTTTCTTTTTCCTAAGAACCTATCGATTTGATTTTGACCTCATGAATATGATTAATGAATAAAGCTATCTCTATTTCCTTTCCTATATTTTTTTAGACCGATGGGTTCAGGGTTCTGACGGGACAGATAGGAATATAGAATAAGATCGTAGAGCATCATTTATTTGTCCACACAAAGGGATCCATCCAATTGGGATCTTGGTATATTTGTTTTCTCTAGAAAAGCAAATCCATATACTTGCAAGTTGACAAGCATAAAGAGTTTGCAGCCATATAGAACCGAGCGAGAGCTATTTCCTGCTGGGAATCACTAGATTCAGGTCTACAGAGAAAGCAAAAAAAATGACCAGAGATTGTTCAGAGTTCAGACTGATGAAGACAAAATGGAACCCCTCTCTAGATTGAAGAATCTTGTTCCTCCAGCTAGTATCACCAGTTATCATGTTTCTTGAGCAATTCAGTTCAGGAAAATTTACATACAGTCGCCTTGCATGTTGAAGCAAGATTTATACACGAGCTGAAAGAAAGCAGCAAAGGCATGGCTTTCCATTTTTTTTCTTACTTCCATAGTGCTTAATTACAGAGGAGGATACAGAGCGAACACTCTCATTACATCCTCATACCATTTCAGACATCTCTCTAGCTAGATCGCCTATGACTCCACTAACACTATCACTACTAGTATTTGATATTTCAGTGATCTATCGGCGTAGGCGCATAGTTACATAGGAAAAAAAAAACACTGCACGCATCGCCAGCGACCACCTCACACACAGACACACGGATTCAAGACACAGACACAGATTCATGAGACACAACGGATGCGTGAAGCCTCAGGCACGTCAGCTAGCTAGCTTCCTTTGTCATAGATATTCCTCTGCTCGATTGGTTATTTTGTTTTTTCAGATTTTTCAGAACTTTTTCACCACGCTGGATCGCGCTATAGTTCATCGGTCCAACGAACTGATGACCACCCTGCAAGCACAGCAAGAAGAACCAAGAGTTTCAGATCAGAGCCAACCAACCATGGCGGAACTGTAACCTTGCAGAGAGAGAAGGGAAGAGTGCGAACCAGTCGTAGACGGTGGGGCTTCTCGGCCCGACGGCGGCGGCGGCCTCCGGCGCGGCGTCGGTGGCCGTCTTGGGTTTCCGGCGAAGCCTCCTCCAGCTGTCCCCCTTGGGCGTAGTAGCTGCACCACCGAATCAAATTTCACAAACACGTCAGGCACATGCATCAGTTCCCATTACTTTCTTAATTTCTGAATTCAATATTAACCCTGTACTATCAGACTACTACGATCCACCATTTCTTGATTAGATGAACTCCACAGATAGCATCAATCAAGAACAGATGAATGAACTCCGTAGATCTGTATTCTGTTGACTGCATCAGCCGCACTCAAGGCATAAAGCATAAAAAGCAACAAACAATTTTGATGATTTTTTTGTCTCTCTCCCATTTCCATGGAAAAAGCTCACCAGATTGACACGCAACCATGGTCTCTCGTCGCATCGGGATCCAATCCCCCAACCAACCAACCACGAACGCAGATCTAGAGTTCTACAGTGCATCGATGCGAGGGCGGCTCTACTACACGCCAATCCAGAATCCAAGAGAGAGAAAGAAAAAAAAAACAGAGGAGACCCCCACCTGACGCGAACGGGGAGTCCGGCGCGCTGGCTGGGGAGGACGGCACGGACGAGCTGTACTCGCCGCCGCCGCCGCGCGGCGACGGGACGGACAGCGACGGCGGCCGGACGATGGTGATGCTGCGCGTCACCGTCGCGGCCGGCGCATCCGGCGGCGCCGTCCCGGGGGCGGCGGCGGCGGCGGAGGAGGAGGAGGGCGAGAAGGAGGAGTACTTGCGGAGCTTGCCGAGGCCGGAGTCCGGGCGCGGGCCGGCCACCGTCTCGTCCCAGAGCTGGTCAAGGAGCCCCATGGGCGTTCGTGCGCGCGTGCGTAAGATTTGGTTCCCGCGTAGTACGTATTACCAGGCGTATGTGCGCGGCCGGAGTCGTCGCCGGCGACGAGTCGACGTCGTTGGATGGTGGCGAGGGCGAGGGCGAGGCAAGGTGAGTGATCCGTTGGAGTTGGAGGAGGATGGGTGGATGGGGAGGGGAGGGTTTTTATAGAGGAGAGAGGTGAGGGGAGGGGAGTTGGAGAGGATTCCGCCGAGATATTAGGGGGCTTGGTGTAATTTTGGATAGGGGAGATAATAACAGGTGGTTGTGTGGATTTTCACCTCTTTCCTGGCTCCACGGCTCGGCTCGGCTCGGCTCGGCAAGCTCAATAATTTTTTTCGAGCGGTACAGGATGGATACTGTCGGATCACGTACGTCATTTTTTTTTATCCATAAAAATTTTGCAAGGATGCCATTTTAATGGCAGTTCTAATAGCATTTTTGCAATTTTTTAGTAGCAGTCTTACAATAACGATTCAAAATAGTGGTGAATTTACAATTGCCCCTAAAAATTAAGAAAGGTTAAGCTCAATGACGATATTTTAAAAGGCGTATGAGGGTATATCTAATATTGGAAAAAAGAAAACGGAAGATAATGAATTTTATACTGGTTGGTTCAAGCGGTCAAGCATCCGAAATGGGGTAATAGCCATAATCTAGTTTATATGTACAGCTGCTATGAGATGTGTTACACCGATTATAAAGGAAGAGCAAGCTAGCTAATTTGGCCTACCAGCTTACCTTCGGTGAGGACTAAACTAGCAACTTGTAATCAAAGACTAGATTTAGGGTTTCCTCCCGATTGATATTCGATATGGGATATGGCTTGTGGTTACGGTTTATGATCCAATGCACTCTCCTCCCTAGGGGCTTTGTATTTATACGGACAAACAACCTCTTGTCTAAATAGAACTCGTGATTCAAATAGGCTATGAACAGATAAGACTTTGTAGCATACGGATCAGAGTCTGACATCTATTTTTGAACATACTCTTCCATAAAGGACCAGGTATACGTTATTCCCGGTAGTCATAAATATAGGTATAAGAAGTATACTTTTCTGTAACACTGACTCTGTCATTTCTCATAAACGAATAGTACCCGTGAAATAATTACTTATTATGTATCCTCTCCCATATTTGTTGCTCACTTGCTCGGAGTTGGAATAGAGAATATATAGTACTCCCCCATCTCAAAATAAGGTAATCTTTATCCCATACTAAATTTATCTTTGAGCAATCATTGTATTGAAGTTTGTGAAAGAATGGAACAAATACTAGAACTGAATTAAGTGAAAAACAATTGTATTGGGATTTAATAGTGGAGGGTGTTCTTATCATTTTGCTTTTACATTGGTACGTGCGGAATGGGTGAAAAATAAAGTTATTTTACGACGGAGATAGTATTTGATAACTTATTACTTATCATGTATCATATCCTATATTTTCCCCCTTTGAATCAAATTCAGAAAAAAAATATATATATATATATTTGTATCTCTAATTAACAAATAAATATTAAACCTAGGTGTTACTTCCTCCGTTTCACAAATAAATATTAGACATATATATCTATCTAGATTTATTAACATCAATATGAATATGAAAAATGTTAGAATGACTTATATAGTGAAACGGAGGGAGTAAAACGATACACCAAGAAAAAAAAAGATAATATGCAGTATACATGTGAGCTCATAATTAAAATAGTGATTAGTCAATATTTTAACTTTATAATATATTTACTACACGTTTGATAATACGGAACATAAGCAAAGATACACTTATTTTATATCCTATCACATAATTTGTAGTGAATTCAAATTTAAACTTGCATTGTACCGAGTATTCTTTTCTCTCTCCTATATCCTCCGTGTGAGACTGTGAGCCTTAGATCAGTCGGACGGCTTATGAATACTCGTTCCATTTTCACCCCTACGAGTTACCTCCTCCTTTCTAAAATGTTGCAATTCAGAATGTAATATTTCAATACGGTAAATCTGGACATCTTACATCTAGTACAACGTTTTAGGACGGATGGAGTACCAGATTGAAACTGAGCCGAGACATGAGCTGAGCTGGGGCGAGCCGATCGGAGGAGCGAGCTGGGCTCCCCGGGGCAGGAGAAGCGGAGGGGTGTTTGACCCACGGAAGCAGCGTCCACGTAACGGATAAGATCCACACCTCTCAGGACAACTGTAACACGCCACGTAGTGGGGCCCCCACCTTCATCACTTAATTAGCCACTAAACTACCCATAATTAGCCACTAGGTCACGTTAATCGCATGCTGTGGATAATGATGACAAGCGAGCTATCTGCATGCTCTACTTCTAGGAATCGCTAATGAGGGAGATCTAACCGCTGGGAGCTATCGTTTCAATGTTTCATTTTAATAGGAATTAATTCATTATATACATATTGTATTAGTCAATATATGCCACACAATTATACACATAAAGTTTATATTCAAAAGTTCATATACCTGATTTAAATTTAAATTTGAATTTAAATTAAAATACTTTTTACTGAGAATGTTTCTATACATAAAGTTTTTTTTTGGGGTTATACATAAAGTTTATATGTATAAAGTTTGCAATGCATATATTTCTATATGTAAAATTTATATACACGGATTTTTTTACGTGCTGTAGATATTTTTCTATTTTGTTTCTCTTTTTCTTGAAACTTATTTTTTGAATTGATTTGAATTTTTAAAAGTGCATGTGGAAAGGGGAGCCAAGAGCTAGGGGAGGCGCATTTGCGTCGATCAGACTGATCACGTGTCACGACCACCCCTATATTAGGTCTTTTCCTTCTACTCGGTATTATATTAGTTAATAGAAATAGTAATTGCCTTCTAAAAAAATGATCTGCAGAATGAACTGAAGTGAGGATGATATGAAACTATTTTTTTTAGGACTAAACTTGAGCCTAAATGCTTCCCTTTTTTGCGTTAGAGCAAATGAGAAATGAGTATGTGAGTTGGCTAGATATTTATTAACGTTAGATATATGCTTATCTTCCAAATATTTACCCAAGTACGAGATAAAATGTTGATATAGATGTGTACTGTATATCTCCTTTCTTTAATATAAGATGTAATTGACTTTTTTCTCAAATGTTGACCAAAAATATAATGAATTAATTCTTAAAGTGAAAAATGCACCAATAGATCTAGCATTAGAAGTAACATTCAGAATATCTAGGTATGTTTGTCCATTTGCGTAAATACTTTTAGAAGAAAAACGGATTAAAAAATAGAGTTAGCAATAGTCATTCAACTTTTTGTGCATGCATATAGCCGATGTTAATTATTTGAATGTAGTGTCTAATTGGCACAGCTTTAACTTCAGCTCTACCTCTTCTAGAGCTAGAGCTCAGCCAAACAATTTTAGCTCCACCTAAAATAGGAGTAGATCTGGGTGGAGCTCTCTCATAAAATGAACTAGAGAGGTGGAGTTGGGTTTAGGCAGCTCCATAACTCCACTTCAGACCCAACTCCTGAAGTAAAATTTGGACCTGTTTGGTAGAGCTCCAACTCCTAATTTTAGCTCCAGGAGTTGGGTCTGGAGTGGAGTTGTGGAGCTGCCTAAACCCAGCTCCACATTTCTAATTCATTTTGTGAGAGAGCTCCACTCAGCTTCACTCCCATTTTAGGTGGAGCTGAAACTGTTTGGCAGAACTCCAGCTCTATGAGAGGTGGAGCTAGAGCTGGAGCTGTGCCGAACAGGCCCTAAGAGTTGGAGCTATAAAAAACATACACACTAGATATACACTAGAAAAAATATCCGTGTGTTGCAACGGGTGAAGTCTATTTTAATCTTATTATTGTTATATGGTTTAGTTAAGATGAAATTCACTGTAGGAGTTCACTTGGATATATATATTTTTAGAAAATCATGAGCTGTAGTTAGGAGTCCAATCATATCAAGTTAGCATGCGAGTTTTTTTAAACAAATTTCTTATATGATTCCTTATGTATTACCAAAAGTGAACGATCTTAGAAACCAACTCAAATACAGATATCTATTTTCAAAATCAAACAAATTTAAAAACCGAGTCATACACGGATGACATATCAAAATATTAGCGAAAATATTTTCAATTTTTATAATAGTAGAGATAAGTCATACTCACACCACTCAAAGTTATCTGCCAAAGGAGGTGGGGCTAGCAGAATGGGGAAAAGGAACAAAAATATCTAGATCAGCTAGTACTCCAAATTAAAGTATACACAGAACAGCTTAGCATTTTCCAAAAGCGAACCTAGCCAAAAACAGTTTTTTCTCCCCTGAAAAACTGCTTTCGAGTCAGCAATTAATTAGTCAAAAGCTCTATTTTGCTGTAGTAGAGATCGAAGTGCTGAAGCAGACAGCTTTCGTTCTCTTTTGGTCTAGTGGGGCAGATTCGTGAATTGTACTCACTCCGTCTCTAAATATGAACATTTTTAGCATAGTGACAAGTCAAATATTTTTAACTTTGACTATTAATAAAAAAAATAAAAAAAATAATCATATAAAATTAATGTTATTGCTTGCTCGTTGGAGAACCAATTACCAATCAAAGATTTAGAACCAATTACCAATCAAAGATTTGTTTCTGAAATTAAGGACGTCCAAACACAAAGAATTAGGGTATGTTCAATGGTAGAGACAAGTATGGTTTCTTAAACAATATAAGATTATTTAGAGACCATATCTTTACAATAGTTGAGACGATAAAGACTCTAATCATTAACTAAAAAATATTCCTTTTATTAATATTCTTTCTATTTTTTTACCCTCATGCAACCATATTTCCATATTGTAGTGATTAAGAGTCGTTGTTAAGCCGTTGTTATGCATGATAACGATGTTTTGTCTCTCCTCTTTCTCTTTCTTTCATGTCAACAAGTATTCCTAATTAGCAACGCTAAGAAACCACTATTGACAACCATTGTACATGCCCTTAGCTAATGAATTTATTGTGGCTTTCTCATTCAAAGTATGGCTAAGCACAGTGGAAGCATTGTTGCATCATCAGTGAAAGAAGCATCTGACCTGACAAAACAAAACGTATCGTTTGTTAGATACTCTGTATTCCTTAGCTCCTCCTAACAAAATTAGTACTTCTACTTGTGCTCCAGGACAAACAAAGTGTCAATTTTGGATGTT